CATGACTGTTGGTGATATGCTGCACGATTATGAAAGTTTGTGTGTTTCCCAGTTAGTCTGTTGTCAATCTGCTTAGTCATTCTAAGGCTATCATGTCTGGACTTTGCACTAATATCAAAGCAAGGGGATTTTGGATCATTTGTTTCCTGTTTGAACATTTTGAGGGCAGCAGAACCATTACTCTGGCTCCAAGTACAACATGTTTGAAGTCTGAAGGTGGAGTGGAGGTTGGCGTGGGCCCAGCAGGTGGGCAAGAAGACTGCTGAGAGCAGCGCAGAGGGGGAGAAAGGACGACGCCAGCCAGCAGGCCAGACGGATGAAAGTGTCTAGGTAGGTGGCTGCTAACAACCAGCTAACACACATAGGGCAGCACAGGGCGAGAGGGAGGCGGGGCCTGACGTCTCTGCTCACCGTGGTACCTCGTCCTACAAATGGGTTCAAACAACAAAACCAAAAGATGCATCACAACCACAGCAGCCCAATCTTTTACATTTGTCCATTTGTTATTATAGGGGTTCCAGCGAGTGGGGTGAACCAGAGTTTACATAAACAAGAACACATACTGTTGGTGTGTCATTGCGTTGCTGTGCTGGTCATACACAAGCAAAGGTCTGTTTATTTTCACACAGGAAGCACAGATAGATGGAGACTATAAATAAATAAATAAATAGAGAACCAAGAGATACAAATGAGTAGTAATTGCTACGCCCAATAATTGGTCAAATCATTGTTGTTTGACATGATTACAGCCAGGATATATCTTAAGTTTCTAAAAACTCCTCAGAAACAAAACTCATTAACAAAGCCTTTTTTATCCTACAATCATTAGCTTCAATTAAAGGCGGCTACATGCTATTAAGGGCACTTTATGTGTCCATTATTGCCAATTCCCCCCCACACCCACATATGTGGAATTCATCACAGCTACTAATGTGTGCTTCCGCCTGATTCCTAACACAAACATGGGCCGTAAACATAACGCGCAAAGCAGAGCATCCCAAACTCAGATGCTCCAGGAATGCTAACATGCTGGTTTAGATTTCCCAGCTATCACTGCTCCCTCCTGGGTTGAACCAGCTATGGTTTCTTTTAGTTCAGAGGTCACCGTTGATGAAATGTCACTGCCAGTCGTGCTGTTTGCCCAGCCCTAAGCTAACTAGGAATGATCTGAGGCTCTCTACTGTAAACGGGATAGAAAGTGTCTTGTTAGCGCTGTCTGCCTGCACGAGCAGCAGGCAGTGACACAGTTTGCATGACTTTGATAGCTACTATAAAACCCAGCTACAGACTGAGGGTGTCATATTCCCGCTGTGTGCCTGTCATCTGCAGACACTCCATCCGAGGTCCTGCAGTGCACCTTCACACTCATTGAATTCTACATGCACAATAACAGAATCTCCAGGGAAATTTTGTTAAAAGGAAAATAGGGACAGGATGTGCTTGTTTTTGTGCAGCGGATATTTCCTTCGGCTGACACCAGTCACACAACATGGGTCTGCCTGGGATGAGCCAGAAATTGTGGATGTAATGGGATGGAATGATCTGGAGTCCTGCCTAAGCCTCTTAAAATACTGACCAAGTCAACACTGATAGAAATGCTTTCCTCGCTAGCATTAAGAGAAAGGAATCGCATGTTGGGGAGAAAATACATTTCAAGAGGATGTGAATATCTAAAGCGGATTTTTATCACCAAATATTGCAAAAGCCCCACACAGCAGACTCGACAAGTAAGACACTCGACCACAATAGGTGGTCCAGGTCAATGCAAATGACAGCTCGATTTTCTTTGTTAAACTAAATAGGTACAGAAAGCTCCAGAATGGTCTTTGGGACTGATATGAATATGAAAAGACACCATTCCACGCTTTGTCAGTGGGACAAAGGACGTGGCTGTGGAGCTGGGAGACGAGTCCTCATCTGGCTAAGCTCTCAGAGCGTCTGTCCAGAACTCCATGCATTCCTCGGTTAATTTCCCCTCAGTGGGCCGGCACTTTCTCTGCCAGGGACCTGTCTTACCTCCGGTCTGACCGAAGCAGCTGTCCGTGTTTGGACAACGTTATCCAGGAAGTGCTAGAGAAGAACTCTTCCTGTAGACCACTGGGATCAAAACGGGTCATGGGGCCTAGCAAAAACTATGATGGGGAGTAGCGCTGCATGATTATGAATAGATAACTAATTGCACTTATTTTGACATATATTGCAATTGTGATTGGATTTGCAATATTAGAGGGAATGATCATTTTAAAACATTATCATTGAAAAATAGATTGAAATTATCATGGTGTGCTTTTTTTAAGACAAACAAGGATTTTTCATTAAGTCTGCAGCTCCAAAAATACTTCAATCAGATACAGATACCAGTATGGCCCAGATAATTCCAACAAAAAGTTTCAACTCATCAACTTTACTTCTGCCTCAACAACACAGTGCCGCTATAAAGGTCACACGGTGACCTTTCCACTCCAGGGAGCCCCGCCCAGATCATTTTGGTGATAATGGAGCCCCACGGAACAAATGTTTGGGGCGGCGGCGGTGTTAAACATGCTGGGGTCAGTGTCTATCCCATGGCAACCGCTGGGATGCAGCCTCTTGGGAAAGTAGACATTCCTCAGAGCAGAGCTGTACGACTGCCTGGTTACAAAAACAACACAGGTCTTGACATGCACCCCATTCCAGAGTAGGAACGCAAAAAATCTAGGGGAAACATACACAACACACCTTCAAATTAATTGTAATGAAATTGATACGGCTCAATTATTCATCGTCATGGCATGTTGTTCGAGCTACACAATAAACACAGGTAGTTTAATTAACTAGGCTATATTCTGCAAATAAAGTCTAATATGTTACTATGCCTGCACAAGAAACAACATGTCTTAAATGACTATTTAGGCTACAGATTACAAATATGTTTTATTGCAGAAATGGATGCTAAAGTGCTTGTAATGAAGTGGAGTGCCTAACCCTTTATACCTGATGAGTTACAGCCAAGACAGGTCCTACAGATCAAACCTCCTCTGACAGGATTACAGGCCCTCTTTCCAACAATGGATGATGAACATGTAACAAAGCGATTCTGGTAAAGGAGAAACAGACACACCCACCAACCGAAAGCCTGTCCCGCTGTAGTATTTCAGTTTGATGTCCTGCAACGTATTGACATTTTTATCATGCAGACTAAATCAAATGTCATACGCAATAGCAACAATCCCCCAGGGAGTCCTGTGGTCACTAAATCTTACAACTAGATATATTCTAAGAGTATGTCGTAAACGCTCAGGTGTCTGCAGGCAACAGGCTTTTTAAATCTACACACCCGTAGTTCATTTCCTGCAAAGTCGAGCCAATCATTTCTCGGGGATCTCATTGCCAAACATTGATTGCTCAAGTCAGAATAGATGACACAATGGGCTCTTCAGTCCGCCCACAGATCTGTGAGGGAGAAACAGAGCCAGCCTTGACTGCATGACATCCCTGAATTGGATTTCCGATTAGAAGGGTTTAATGTAATTACCTTGAGTACATTGTGCAGTCTGCACTAAGTAACACAGCGATGCATCACCTCAAGCTTTGCCATTACACTTGTCTCGTGAATGAAGGTGCCTGGCACCGGGCTCCCAGAGGAGCAATATTATAGTATGATTGACAGATGTATACCTGCATGTGCTCAGCATTTAAACAAGGGTTCAGAGAAGCCGGTTTTGACATGCAGCACTAAGCCTGGCCATAAGTCAATGAGCTATATTTCATTTGTATCTATAGGCAGATATATATATTAGCCTTTGTAGCTTTATGAAGTAAGGTTTTTGCACACAACACACTACCGTTTCAACTATGGATACATTATGGAACTATATAACTTTCAGAAAATGTGTTTCAGCCCAGGGAAAAACCAAACATCCTGTTTTGGTAAGCCTATAATTCAGATAATATCTGCAGAATAAAATGAAACTCAGACCTTATCAGATCCTTTTCATTCCATCCTATTATTTAATATCACCCAGCACCTCTCATCTGCACACATTTAAAAAGGATGGTGCATTTAAAAAGGCCAGAACAAGCTTCCTCCCAATAACACTGCGAGGCATTTTATGCAATCTTTCATTGTAAAAACAAACAGGGACTCATATCCATTACCAAAACCACACAAATGTCTTCCATTTTGTTGAAAATTGTCCTGTTTTCTAGAAGGCACCACCAAACAGGTAAAGCATTTGCATTGAAGCACATACTGACTGACTGTGCACAGGTGACAGGCACTGTATATTGGCAATAGTTTTTATCCTAATCTCCTATATCAGAAATCCCTTTATCAAATAAAGGGGTGAGCAGGACAACAACCATAGTAAAAATCACAAGCCCTTACAGAGCAGCTAAATATCCCTGACCTTGCATGCCTGGTAGGTCTTCCCTAGTGAAAAACCACATCAAAGGTCTACCTCAGTAGGGCTTCCCCCCTGTGACCACTGATGGCTACTAATTAAATCTACCAAGGTCAAAACTATACAGCTGTAGAAAGGAAATTGTTTTCAGTCAAGAACAATGGAAATATGAAAATAATGCTGCTTAAGATAATGAAAATGTGGTTGTGACAAGTCTCTCCACTCCATTTTCACCAGTGCTCAGGTCTAGACTGTATGTAAGCAATTAATAATGCATGTGTGTTAGTTTTTAGGTAGACCAGGGGGCTGTTTTGTTGCAGATGTCTGTATTTTAGTTGCGTCATTACCTACGAGGTATTTTTTTGCACAATACTGTATAGTACAGCTGGCTGGGAGCTAACAAAGAAGCATGTCGCTGCTCCTGTGCTGGATTGGTTTAGGTTGTGTTTGTTTGGCAATTCAAAACAAGCATTACGCTGCGTAAATACCCAAGGATAAATCACATACTTCAATATAGGCTATAATAGTAACTGATCAGGCATTATTTGACAGGTTTGAGACTACTGGCTGTCTCCCATTCAGTTATATCCGACTGTGTTTCCCGGTTCCAGAGCCTACCTGAGCAGACTGGAGAGGGTATGAGAGGAGGCTCCGTGTCCGCTGCTGGTGCCGCTTCCCCCGGTCCCAGACGAACCGCTGCTAGTGCCAGCGGACTGTCGCTTTCCGGATAAAAGCTTCTCCACGGCGGCCAGGTTTCCCGTGCGCGCCGCTTCCAGAAGTTCCTGCTCCTTCCCCATCGCGGATCCCAGAAAAAATCAGAGGAGGCGCGGGGAAGAGAAGAAAAAGGGGGGCTTGGTTGCCGGAGTTAAAATTATTCTGCGATCCCAGTCTTCTCCCGATCTCAAGTTATTCCTCAGTGCTACTCGTGTGGCGAGGAAACAAAAGCTCCCTCCGCCGCTGGATCCGTCCGTCCCGATCCACGGTGCCGCTGCTCCTCAAGGGGGGAAAGTTTCGTTCAGCAGCACGGTACCACCATCAAGCAAACTTCCTTTGACCAGTCCCCTGAGCCTCGTCCGTCACTTCCTTGAAACTGCCCTTTCTTTCTGCATCTCCAATCCGAAATGCTTCACACACACACGTACACACACACACACAGGCATGCAACTCCTAGCACCCCCCGCCCTAACTAATTGATAGTGAAGGTGGATGGGCTAAAGCAAGATGGCGCCCCTAGTGCTCATACACAGGGATAATATCCATCCAGTGTTTGAGATGTCTGTTCTACTGTCGCATCTAGAGTGTAGAGCACATTTCCAAACCAATCCTTTTCATTATTTACAAATAGTCACTCTCATGTAGCCTATTGTAAATTGTCTACATCAATTATAAATTGTATTCCTCTTAAATTATATAGTACCCCAGATGTAACTACTGTGAACCTGATGATAATCTCAACAACAGGTAGAAGTTTTGCTTGAAATAAAACCCGTGTAAAATTCCCTCATGGTGGGAACCATAGTCTGTTTATTAAGGTGTAAACCGGTGTAAACAGGGACATAACACCAGGTGACAGCAAACACAGAGACAACATTGTTGTATAAGATTTAACTGGCTGTTCTAAAATAGTTTATTAAATCATTTAACTCAATACAAAATCTTAACAGCTACGGCAATAAAATACATAACAAACATCGCATGTTTGACATTTTAGCTCAGTGTTTTTATGTACCGCTGCCGGTGTCTTTAAAGTTCATTCAAAACCGGAAACGGAAACCCGGTGCAATGCTATCAACACAACTATATTTGCTACCGCCGAGAAAACTTGCATCCTAATGCCATCATTGCTCTAAGACTAAGGATTTGCTTAAATGTAATTCATTGTGACTACAGTAATGAATTTGCTGTGTGTTAGCTGCTAAGCTAACGTTAGCTTAACTTTGCTCCACCGTTAGCTTTGCTGTTGGTGCTGTTTTGTTGACGCCTAGCTGCACAGAGGGTAGGTGCATGTTGTATTCGTGTTTTCATCCTTATTTTACACACATTTATTCGTTAAACCATACCTGTGTACTCTTTTTTTTAGGCTTCTCAGTTGAGTTATCGTGAAAACTGTGTTTAATCAAGCGGCAGCACTTGCTCCATACTTGAGATGAGTCGCTATAGAAACCAAAACGATTGCTATCTAGCTTTAGCCAAACTGGCAACCAACTAATAAAAAGAGGTACAAAGAGTATATAAGTACTATTAAGGCTGTGTGAATGCTCCTCTATAAGTAACATAACTGCCTTTAAATCTATTATACAGTGTAATCAGCTAAATTACATACATTACTTAAGTGACAGTGCAGTGAAATGGTCCCTGTCATTGCTTTACAATTTACACTGTATGATGTTTTGAGATGAATGATACTAGTACATTAATGTGAATTGTTTAATTCTACTGCTGTAGATGTTCATGGTTCTGCTCATTTTAACTAGTTAATATACCGTTGAGTAGTTACATATACAGTATGCATCATATAAGAACATTGTATGTTTGTATAGTCGCTGTAAACAATACATACTTATATTCCACCAAATAAACTCCCTTATTTACTTTACAGAATCTGAAGTTGTCAACCAGTGTAAGGTGTGATCATGGCTGACCCTGCGCGGATCAAACCTGAGGCTTTATCTGAGAGAATAACTTCTTGTAAGGAGGAGCATGATAAATCAGATGAAACTGAGGATGGACCTTCCACATCGAAAGCTGCAGATGAAAACAAAGACTCATCTTCGCAAGATCAGTCCAACCAGGATGTTAAATCTGTAAGTGATACAAGTGAAGGTTCACTTTCACAAAGTAGCGTCTCATTTTTTTAAGTGGCTCTAACCATACTGTCTTTCACTGTGTAGGAAATGGCAGCTGGGGAAGATGAGGAAGAAGGAACCTCTGGCGAACCTTCCTCCAAAAGACCGAAGGTGGAACCAGAGAAGAAAAAAAAGTGCCAAAAGGTTGATGAGGATGAAATACAAAAGATGCAGTAAGGCTGGGATTTCTAACGGATCATTCTGATCAAAATAAATAACACATTGTCACATACCAGTTCACCCCACCACAATCCCCCTGTTCTTCTTGTCTTACAGAGTTTTAGTGTCATCCTTTTCTGAAGAGCAGCTGAATCGCTATGAGATGTACAGACGCTCTGCCTTCCCTAAGGCGGCTATTAAGAGGGTATTTATAAACACTGACCTTTTTTTTTTTTTTAAATCCCTGAATTTAGTTCATAAATGGCTTAATATTTTATTTGTATTTTCTAGCTGATCCAGTCCATAACAGGATCATCAGTGTCCCAGAATGTGGTGATTGCCATGTCTGGTATTTCCAAGGTTTTTGCTGGAGAAATTGTTGAAGAAGGTGAGTGATGGACTTCAAAAAGTACATAGCAAATTGGCTGAAAGATGTCAATAAATGTCTCTTATTTGTATTTCTTTGAAGTTTAAATTGGACTATTATGTATTTAAAACAGTTTATCTTTTGTCCTCACAGCATTGGACGTTTGTGAGAAGTGGGGAGAAACACCACCGCTTCAGCCCAAACACATGAGAGAAGCCGTGAGGAGGCTAAAGACTCGAGATCAGATTCCCAACACCAAGTTCAAAAAAATTACCTTCAACTGAAGCGTCTTTGCTTTCAATGTATGGGGAGCATGCGTGCGAGTTAAAAAGGTTGTGCCATAGCTTCTGAAAGACTTGTCATAAAGCTGTAGGCATACTGCAGCCAAATAGACACTAAGCATTTCTAGCTATCCAGAGTTAAAACCAGTGACAGACAATAGTGTTAAAGAACGGTCAATACAAATGACTTGTCACCTCTGATTGTCAGGGTGAATGCTTGACACATCATACAAAACAGTGCAACGAGTGTGACATTATATTCATGTTTATGGTTGTTAAGTGTTTTTTATACAGTTTGGTTTTTTGCCTCGTTATTTTAATAACTACGGATCTTTGGAGAAAGGTTTTCTCGTGAGAAAGTTGTGTTTTGCCAACAGTGAATTTCCTTATAGTTTCACAAATAAATGTTTAGTTGAAACTTCAAAAATGTGTATTTTTCTTTTTATATCTAGAGGACACATTTGGTATTTAGCTTTTTTTAATTGACATTTGAAAATAAAGGTTTTGTTAGTAGTTGACTTCCATCATTCAGTGAATCTCAGAATGTATTTAGTTGGTCTCACAATACTGAAAAAACAATGCTTCCAGTTTTATTTGGAAATATCTAAACTTCTTTTTAAGTTATAGTCGAAACTATAGAGATAGTAAAATCATTGGAGTGAGATTTTGAACGTACAAGTTGGTAAATATTTTATGACGACGCAAAAGTGAAAACAGATATTCTTTACATGGAAACATGCGTGTTCTAATAAAACTTAAAAGGCCCAATTGAAAAGTGTTCAGAAATTAATCATTTATTCTTACACTTTCAAAATATTTTGCACATACTAGCTTTGGTTCACAGAACCAATCTTATATTAGTCTCAATTAAGTGATAAAGAAAATACAAAATTAATGTAACTACACAACTGACAGAAATACTGATATACATCAAAACAAGTGCAATTTCCAGTGAATGTATCACAAGTGCAAGTAACTCACAACGCATAAACTATGCAACATCACCCCAGTACATGCATTTTCCCTCACTGGCAACATTTTGCTTGGTTGAAGTGACTGCTTCACTTTTTGTCCTTCTCCTTTTTGCATGGTTATGAGCAGGTCATAAGCGGATGGAATCAGAGCACCAGTTTGTCAGTAGAGGAGACTGGATTAACCTTAAAGCTACACGTTACATCCAGCCCGGGTTCAACTTCATACCACTGTATCTTTGTCTTCTAAGGCCATGCAAAAACAAGAAAAAAATCAAAAGTTGAGAAGATCACAACTAAAGTTATTCTGAGGATAAACAGCAGTATCTCTGCTTTCTAACACTGATAGTTAAAATGTGCTCATGCAGTTTAAACCTGGCAGACAATAAGTACATCATTTATTTTCAAGTGAAGAATGCCACATAAAACATGTGTAGTTTGTTTCTTGTCATATTTTTTTTTTGGTTGAACCAAAGCTGAATTCCTATTGCTTACATATTTTGCATTCCTCTGTAAAAATGCACATCTGTCATTCATAGCTTGCAAGGCAACTCTGATGTTTAAGAAAGGAAAGTGTTTTTAATGGGGAATGCTCAGGCCAGTTCAGCCACCAGGGGTCTCCCGAGCACACAGTGGGAAATGATGAATGGTGAAAGATGACTAACAGCTACGCAACCATAAAAAAAAGATAATTATAACTTCACAGGCAAAATGCTAAACCACTGATGTAACAATAGAACACTTGAACAGAAACTGTAGCCGAGAGGTTTCTTTCATGAAAGCATTCGTACACTGAATATCGTACTGTGGAAGTCTTTTTGATGAACACATTCATCAAGGTTTGAATCCATGCATATAACAGATTTTATGCATAGAAAAGAAGTTAGAACATTTGATGACTGGCCTGATACAATCCTGCAGATCAGGATTAAATTCCGAAAAAGAATATGTCCTGTAGTGAATTTGGTCATTCACATAACGTATACATTATTAGTACCAACATTTTCTATTCAAACTTAAATTTTCTTAGATTGATATGGCTTCAATACACTGTAAAGTAACTCTGGTATAACAAAAAAGCACTTGTTGAGAAATCTCAATAAATATAGACATATTAGTTCATGACCACTACACTATGACAAATGTGCACAGAGGTGAAAACACTAGCAGTTGTTTCCTAGCAAGCTACAAAATAAGTAGATCAGTATTATAACTCTGGTAGTTGTAGTTATAATACATAACCTAGTTAAACCAGAGTGTTGGAGTAAAAAGACTAACCCTGTTACAGTACTGGAGCTACTGTGCGCCCTGAGAGCTCAGAGGCTTCACAATACAAAAGAAACTCAACTCAAAGAAAAATAACACTGGGGAATGGTTCAACCTGCTTATTAAGGACAGTGAAACTTCATAAGAGCGTTTACCATGCCATCTTGGTTATAAAAAGCAACCGAGGTGGAAAGAGATGCATTTCTGAGTCAGTGAAAGCAGTTTAAACCTGCTTCCTTAAAAAAGAAAAAGTGCATTGTTTTCCCTACCTATCACAACACATGTACAACAGCTGATACTATCGTCATAATAACATAACATCTAACAGAGGTAATCTAATTGACTAAGTCTATTGAGTCTATTGAGTCTATGTGTAAATGTGCTGTGTAAATTAGCACGGTTCAAAAAGCATGCTTGACATTAAGCTGTGTTTTGTAAATGGGAGCGACTCATGGACTAGCAGCTGTCTGGCAGTGTCAGTGCATGTGAAGAGGAGGAGGTTTTGGCATGTGATCAACTTAATATTTCCAAAACACAAATACTTAACCGGAGATAATTAAAGCTTGGTGATATTTACCCTTGCATGCTGTGTGACAAACACCGAAACCACACAATGACTTTACTGTCCACACTGACTCGAATGAGAAATAACCAGGGTCATTTGTCTTCAGTGCAGCAGTGAGGTTCATTTAAACTGCCATATTAAAAAATAGTACCATTAATATACCTATAAGTAAGCTCACTAAGTTGTCCTTTTAGTATTTGTCATACAGGCTCTTTTGTTAACCTCTGGAAGTGATCCAAAGCCACAACTTGGCTTCACCTTCTTTTCAAACATGTCCAACATCCAGATTTAAATGAGCCTTGCTGGTTCCTGACATTCAGCCTGATGCATCCCGTCACTGTTCTTCAGCAGGAGCAATGATGCAGTTGGCTCAGAGGCGACAGACAGACAGAAGAGAGGCTCAAAAAGTAAACGCGGGGTCATGCTTCCTGACTTCCAGAAGGAGTTGTTCTCTCTCGCTGAGGGCCTGTGTGAGAGCGGCCTGGGCCTCGGAGAGCTGGCACTCCAGAGTTTGTCTCTGTAACAGATCATTGGATCAGTTAGTTTCAACTACATCACATGAACATTTTGGCAACATGCTGCTTGCCAAGTGGGCCGATATCAGATTCTGACAGACAGTAACAGGTGTAATTAAGGCAACAGTACTCTATCCTGTTTACTGACCCCTCTCTGTGTTAGAGCTGACCAGCAACAGGACACCAGTATTACAGATGTATGTAACAGACATAGTGATTATGGCTGATTTAAACATGAGTAGAAACTGTAATTCAGATGAGGTTTAAATATCTTCACCTGACCCTGTTAAAAGTTTCATAAAACAACAACTGATACTACTAAATACAGAGGTCCTGCGTTGTAAGCTTCCTAAACTATACCCAACCAATGAGGGCAAGAGTTTGGAAATAGTGACCAAATTGTCAATTAAACCTCCTATGAGTGTGTTTTTCAGTGTGTAGAAACAAAATGACCAAAGATGGCAAATTTGATAGATAAATAAAAATACAAAACAATATTTCACCATTAACATTGTTTTTAAGAGGCTTGATTTTTGTTTGTAATTTGTTTATATTAAAGTATAACTTTTCATCTAACCAGCTAAAAACTTACCAGGCTACACCCCTAGCTACAGACACAATAGATCAAAGCATAAACAGTAAATCTATACATATATGAAACTGCTTGGTCTCCCCTACCTCGCTTTGCTGTTGAACAGAGTAGGAACAGTTTGGGTTGTCGGGGGCCGCCACAGGAACACAGGCTGAGGCTTTAGGGTCTGAACCTTCAGCTGCGAGCAGAGGGGAAATGGTAAAGATCACTTTCTGTTCATGTTTCTGTGAAGATCTTTCAGCAGATGTCGTGAGCTTTGTGGTTTTACAGTTCATGATGCTGCTGAAGACAAAAGAAAGCTCACCTTTGAGCCTCATCATGCCGTCCTCACAGCGCTCGAGCAGCAGCTGATCCACAATGAAAGAGGCTGGGACGGGCTGAGGCGCTGTAGGGTAGATTTTAGGGCTATCGTCCTATAAGAAATAAAAAAGTGAAAATGAACCACATACAACAACACTGTCTAAGTCCTTCTACTCCATTTCTTCAAAAGCATTTTATTTTCTAACCCAAACGAACCTTCAAAGTGACTGTGATGTTGCTGATGTGTAACTTCATTGGCGGACTGTCAGCGCTGAACTCGTCTTCCAGGAAAGGACCGATGTTAGTCACTGTGGAGGATAACAGCTCCACCTTGCAGTTCTGCACTCTCATCTCTATGTAGCCCAGAGTCTCGGCCTGACCTGAGTGTCGGGCTGCAGAGGGTCCCATCTCTGCTCGCAGGCACACCACAGGACAGCCCCTCACACCGGGCCGGTCCTGGGGTGGTAAGACTGGGGCTGCAGAAACAAAGGAGACGGCGCATTTGTTAACCACATGGACACTTTACCAGATGTTCATATTGCATCTTGATCAAGTAGATTTAATGACTATTTGGGTCAAATCAATAATTGAACCATCAGAACAGTCTAGTAAGTTTAGAAACATAGTTCACTTTCTGTAGATCAGCATATAAAACCAGTAAAACAACAATGATGCTAAATGACAACATTCAAAATCAGAGACGATATTTAGTCTCATATCAGGATTTTGAGATTATATATAAAGATTTACAATACTCATCTAAAAATAGGCTTTCCTAGAGTTATTTAAGCAACCCACTGATTAGTTTAATTTAAAAAGTGTTTCATAAGACAGAAAAACAAAGACAATATTTGAGACTTTTTTTAAAGAGTTCTTAGATAGGAAACAAACAGCACAGTTACCTTGAACGAGGCCAGCCAGCAGGTCAGATACTCTGTTATTACCCATCTGCACCGGGACCAGATTCTGGGCCTCGACAGCCAGTACTTGGTCTTCTCCCTTTACTTCCATTGTGCAGGCCGTTCCACTCAGCACCAGCAGCAACACTGAGGACTGTAACAACAGCACATGAGGTCACATTTAAAAACTGTTTGGATTTATACTTCAAATCAATGTTTGTATGTTATAAGTATTAATTATACTTTTGCGATTAGAGCGTAGTAACCCACCATATCCTGAGATACGTCCTCTATGCTTTGGGACAGAGAGCTGCTGAGGTCGGCTGATGACCCCCCCTCTGTGCCCGGGGCCGGGCTGCCTCGGCTGCCTGTGTTGTTGGGACGCATGGACTCCGTCCCAAACTCTGGAAACATGATAACAAGCTTATAATAGATGTGACCTGTGTGATTCAGAGACATTGCTTTGGAAACCTGGCAGTGTTTTAAGCACCTGAGTCCATGAGAACAACAAAATTCTCGCTGAAATCGCTGTCGACAGAGAGGTTTTCGTCAGGCAGGCTGCCATCTAAGATAGCACTATCAAAGGAATGCTGGGAAGGCGACTGCTTGATGGATTGGCGGTGCAGGCTGGCAGCCAGGGAGGGGGAGGACTCATCTGAGCGCTGGACCAGTTCCCTATAAACACACACACACATTCGTTAAGGGGCAGCCAGTAAAAGCATGCTGCGCACAGTATGGGTTCCAGAAATACAAACACTCATGATGTTGCCAACAGCACCGCAGGAGGGACTTACTTTGCCTGCGGACTGAACAATTTACTCATCCCGGTGCCACGACTCAGCATGCTGAAGGCGTCCTTTGTCATTGAAAAGGCGCCTTTGGTCAGGTCCAGCGAGGCACTCAGGGCGTCTTTGGTCGCATCCTTAGTGACGATGATGGCGCTCGACAACTCTCCCTCCAGGCTGAAGTTGGACGGTTCGCGTGAGAGTGCGGGGGAGTGTCCAGGTGAGAGGACGTGGATGTCCCTCTCTGTTGTCAAACCGTCCCCCTCCTCTACGGCCTCACACGCCTCCTCCACCACCTCGTCTTGTTCGTTCGGATCGAACGCAGAGCCGGTGTTGATGGAGGAGACGCCGTTCTCTAACCCGCTGTCCTCCAGCACTGCGGAGTGATGGGTGGGGGAGATGTCAGAGTCTGTCATGCTGCCGCTGTCTGTCTCCGGGGTGTGGGGGACTTCTTCCTCGGGCTCTGTGCACGCTGGTGGCAACAGGAGACCCAATTCTGCTGAGTCCACCAGGAGGGAAAGACAAACTGTAGCAGGTTTTGTTTTCTTGCCTTGAGCCTGCTTGACATCTCGAAGATCCCGGCCTAACTCCCCCCCCAAACGAGCCATGGAGTCCTTCATCCTCAGCAGGGCGACATACTGGTAGTGGTTGAGCCACATCTTCACTGGAGTGATGGTGTGGGCCAGGAAGTGCACAGAGGCAAGTGAGGCCTCTTCCTGCTCTGATGATGGCTGATGGGCTAGGCTGGGGCTGGAGGAGGACGACGATAATCCGTTTTGTAAGGCAGAGGGCTGACACATCCACACAGACACAGCGAAGGGTTCAACAAAAGGTTGTGTTCTGCCTTTGGGGAATCGCCGGGCGCCGTCAAAACCTAGGGTCACACGGGACAGACTGAGAGACCAGACATCTTGGGGTCGTAGCTGCTTTCTGTCAAATGGTTGAGGCTCGGTGTCTTGAGAGTGCAGGAGGAAGGTGGAGGGGAGGGGGTGGAAGGCACTCTGGTCCCTGGGGTAAGGGCAGGGAGGCGTGTGCTGAAAGAAAGGGCAGCTGGAGAACTTCTCAAAGGTGGCGTTCAGGTCCGCTCTGGAGCCGTGAGGGCAGAGGCGGGTGTTGCTGAGGACCATCTGGGGGACGGTAACAGAGAGGGACTGCGGGCGCTCCGGGTGGTCCAATATGGAAGAGTCTAAGGGGATTATTAACTATAGGAAGGATTAAAAAATATCAAACATTAATTTACAGGAGGTAGTAAAGTTTCATTGCAAAAAGAATCATCAGAGAAAAAAGGGGCTCCACAAATATTTTAATTGAAAAAAAGAACCGCCACATTATATTACATTTAGCTAAATATAGGTGGTATTGATCAAATAAAACATCTCAGAACAGCAAGAAACATTCATTGTATTGAGTGGGTTTTGTTTTGTGTGTTTTATTGGCAAAGTAGCAATACAGCTGGGGTTTTATTCTGTGGCGGAAGATATGTAAACTTTCTGCTGTCCTTATATTGATGGGGAGCTCCCCTGTTTTTGTTCAGGGGTACCTCCCCACAGTGAGTGACCAATATATAAAACAACAGTGCAGTTTGTATTCACCTTGAGCTGAGCTGCATCCAAGCGCACGTCTACATGCTCTTCTGCTCTGCAGCTGTCTTGCAAATGGTAGAAAGCTTTGACCTGATCCAGGGTGTGCAGCAGACCCCTGGAGAACAGGTTGATCCACAGAACGCTGGCTGGGTCCACACAGAGCTGCAGGCCGTTCAGCTGGGCATACAGGTTCGAGGTGGGCACTGGAAGAGGAAAAAAAGAGAAAAAAACAATGGAAAAAATAATACTTTGTTATAACAGGGGGGTTGTGCTGTGATACAAACATTTAAATGCAGCAGACATACAATGCTCATAAGAGATCTAAACTTGAGAGAGAACACAACAAATCTGGCTAAATACATGCAAACACAGAATACCTGTAAAGCTGGTGTTGTCAGGAAAGTAGTACTCAGTGAACTGCAGATGAATTGCTGGTACGTTGTCTGGTAAACGCAGGGCTTTACGGTTGCAGGATAAAAAGGACCGGGTCTTCTTGTTTTGACGGCCTCTTGTAGACACCTGAATATGGATGTGTAGAAGTTAGAACAATATAACTAAATATGGGATTTGTTTTGGGGTAAATCTACTTCATTCAGAACAACGGAAAAAAGGAACTCAATTTCTCAACAAAGTAATGTTGCACATAACAAAACTAAACCTCCTGAGTTAGGACATGAGTGACTTCCTGTCATAAACTGAAGGCATATAGAAAATGTTCCCGGGGTCTCTTCTTCTTTAAAAAAAAAAGGGGAACTACAAGTGTCTATGACTTTAAATAGACCTGGAAATGTTATGTTCTTTCATGGTGAAAAGTCGAAAATGTCCAAAGTGAAATTTCAGAACCACTGAGAGTGTAATCTGAAGAGGCTGGGGGTTTCTCCGTCTCAGATGAAAACACCAGAGCAGCCAAGTGGAGAGACTTTCTCTTTTCTTACTGATGTATTTGACTGAAGAAAGGTGCATGGCTAAAACTTAAGAAAATATATCAAGGCTGGTTGTTTGTACAGCTCAATCTATTGTAAAGGTTTGCCAGAGGGGCAATTTGATGCATTTATACATAATCACATCAATATAACAGAGCAGCAATCTGATCAAACAAATTAGATAGCTGGGCAGAACAGAGGAGACTTTTGTTCCCTCCGTACGGCCTGTCAGGCTGGCACTGGTTTTTTCCCAGGTGGGCTAACTGCAAGTGATGAGCACACTGCAGCACATGACACTTTTCAGCCCGCGACCCCCAAAATAACAGTGCCAGAGACTGGCGACCCCCTGTGCTAGTGAATTATTTTCAGAAAAAAAAAAAAAAAGTTTGAGAAACACTGCGCTAGTGGATTGTCAAAGAAAAAAATGTCTATGCAAACGTTATTATTAATAATTATTTAAATTATTAAAAAAAATAATCAATTTTTTTTTTTTTTATTTCCCATTTTTATTTTGTAATCATCTCGCGACCCACACTCGGAGTCTCGCGACCCCCCCACTTTGGGAACCCCTGAGCTAGCTTACCATGGAGCTACAGTTTTGGAAAAGAGCCAGTTTTATACACAGACATTTTTTTTCAAAAGTTATCATTTCTCAAATCGTGATGGAATAAAGCACCTCAATTAGGCATCATCTTGATAATGATTGTGGTCAGACATTAAGCATGCTCACTGCAAAGAGTTGTAAAGAGTGTTTTTTATCAATTAATCAACCAATACCTGCTTTACACACAAACTATTCATGTTTTCCATGTTAACTGTAGGCAGTTATGTCATGAATGCAACCAGTGACCTTTGTCTGTGTAAAACGTATGGTGACGTCAATTCTTTTAAAGAGCTGATGGACGTTGCTGATATGTCCCTGTTGTTGGATCCACCAGTCTGTGGCATGATGCGGATTGGATCTTTTTAAGAATTGTAAGATTGTAAACTCCTGTTTCCATAGTATTAATACCATTCGTCACTGCTTTGTCATCACTAAAATATTCTGAATGTAAGTCGAGCTCAAGCCTTGCCCAAAGATACTGCCTGACTGCTACGTCTGAAGAACAGAAGCCCCTCAGTGCAGTTATTGAAGTAAGGCTTGTGCTGGAGCAGGTCAATCTAATCAGTTAATTCATTTAGGCTTGCCTGGTGAATGTCCACGTCGTCCACCCTGACCACCACGCAGCAGGAGCGCAGCCTCTTCAGCGAGGACCCGGAAGGAGCGGTGCAGGTCCTGCCTGCTGCCTGCTCAGAGGGGGAGGGTCCCGACTTAGGGCTGGACTGACCATCTGAAGAATGAGAGTGGGGGAGAAATCACTTCCAGTCAGAAATGACTCATTTACAAAGAGCAAGTCTGCTGGTTACGGGTTTGTTTCTTTGTTATCATTAAAAAATGTGCGGTTACTGAGCCATCTGTAGATTTGTTGGGAAATGGGTGCATAATTCAATAGTGGTTTACTTTGTGGTATTTCTTTTAGATTTGATTCAATTACATTCACGTTTGTTCTTATTGCACAGAGTATAATAGTAGGACTCAAAATGCAGTTAGCGTCTAACCAGAAGGGCAAGCCTATGTATAAAATAAGTATATAAATATGACAGCTAAAGTAAATACAGTATTATCAGCATTAAAAGGTGTAAGCACTATTAACAGTAGTATACATTTTGATAAAAAGAAGGTAGAAATAATATAGACCTCATAATATAAACAGTACTATAGACAGGAATATAAATATGTATACACTATAGACCAGTATATAGACTTTTCTATATATAATACGAGTACACTATAGGTGGTAGGATCTTCTTGTGTTATAAAGGAAATACAAGTAATCATGTAGATCTGTGTAATTTATCTGAGTCCTTTAAGCGTTGACATATTATAATTCTGCACTCATACCTCGTACTGTCTTTGCGGGGGAGTCCTTGTTAGGCTGGGGGGCCTCAGAGTGGGGCCCGGGGATCCCAGCAGCCTGGGCCCTCCTCTGGTACTCCTGCAGGAGTTTCCCGGCCCACTGAGCCTGAGCCTCCATGGCTCCACTGTAGCGCTCCCAGTGCCGACATCCATCAGCTGATTTAGAGAGGAAACAACAAGGATTTGATTCAGCCACCATTCAAGGCTTCAAACTCATTTCCTCTGACGCACTGTTTATTGTTCACAATGTACCAGGGTGTGTCATATACTTAAATTAGGGTTAACAACAATAAGAAGGTCATGGTTAAGGGAACAAGTTCCTAACTAAGGTAGACTAGAATGAGTCAAATGTATAAAATATAATCTGATGACTATAAAGAACAATTTAAACAGTTTTCATTGAGTAAACATGAACAAAATAGTAACTGATTTCTTGACAAATATAAGAACAGAATGCTGAGCCTTTTAGTCTACTAAAACAGGATAAAAAGGACTATATTTAATACAAATTGACAAGGAAATGTTACACATGACTAAGACTATATTTAAAAAGTATCCGGAAGAATTGAAAGTAGAATAGGTTTTTCTGTATCAGCAACTTCCTGTAAATTAGAGTGCATTCTTTTGTATTTGTCAACAACCGTGGCCATTTTTCAATGTTGGATGTTTGGATAAGTATACAAACTGTGTATAAAACTGAACTGGGTTGGTATTTGCATAAATCTTTATTTAATATTCAAAGACCGTAATTCTTAATCAAACAAATAGCTTAGTAAAGGTTTGTGGTCTGTGGTTAATTGACCGTAATCGGCTCCACAGGCGACTCAGCTGCTCCACATTCTACACTGGAGGAATTCCACAGAGAATAATGGCAGTGGGCACACACTCCCAGGCAATTAGTCCGCTTGAGTAGAAAATCCTCCCTGAAGCTAGTCCTGAATGAATGCTGTGGATAAAGTGGGAGCAGGACAGGCCTCTGGGTGAACTGCGTTGAAAAGCTGCCTCACACTCACCCGGTCTGTGGACGGGATAGTAGTCAAAGCCCAGCTTCCTGAATGTCAGCTGCATGGCACCTTGCAGGCCTGGTGGGGGAGCCTCGTCTGTGAGAGATCACATGATAAGTGACAGGAAACAGCTTGACGTTATACTTCAAATTCAATAAGGACTATTTCCAACTAACCGTCATCTAATGAAGAGCTGTCGTTGCATATGTGTAGGTCCAAGCGGGAAATGAAGGTGTGGTAAGAAGACTCCTTAACATCGTAGAGATCAAAGTATTGACTGGTGGTGCTGGGGGGGCCAGCAGGGGCGGGGGGGGTCTCTGTCCACAGGTTGTGGAGGCCAGGAGAAGGAGGAGCAGTCTGAAACAGAGAGGAGGTCAAACATCTAAATTATCAAGATGATTGACAAAAATGAGGAAAAAATATCTTGCAAAATAAATATCATAGGGAAACACAAACAAGTTACAACTATAATATATAGTTAACATATCGAGAAACAGGCTTGAAGCAACTATATTTAAGTCTTTGTTTTGTTATAATAATACTGTCTGTTATCTGTTAATACACTTCGTTTTTATTTTATTTATAGTAATATAACTTTAGAATGTATAATGTAGAACCAGGCTTTTGTTGCTTTTACATGTATTTATATCTGTAGAATTGTCTTTTATAAAGTCAGTTATTTACAGTATAGTTGTGTTTGAGTTAAAAATGTGACAATATTTGAACAACCTTGGATTGTTAAATAATGAGACAATAAGGTGCTTATCAATAGAGATTCTACATTTTTATGTCAATGTGTAATTTCTCTTGTACTTTAGTTTCCTTGCAGCTTTATAGTTTTGGGAATTAAGAAAAAAAACGTAGAAATCAGATTTATAGCCAAGTTTGAGCTTGAAAAATATATATTCTATGCGTGTTCGATGGGGCAGTCTATAATGTGCAAAACAAAGACAAAAAAATGCATAAAAAGGCTGAAAAAAATCCCCAAACTGAACATTGATGGTTGCTTTGGAAAGCAATGAGAGCTGAAAATAGAAACACATATAATTCTTGGAGGCTGAGTACATTTTTGAGTTTATGAGGTTTTAAATATGAACTTTGTCTCTAAGAGACCTTTTCATTGGAAGACATTTAAAGTTTTTATGTCCACTAGTTGTTTAATCTCATATCATGTTGCAGGTTTATTATGCCTCATCGACTTTTCTCTCAAACATTGATCAGCAGACCTGTAGGGACTCTGCCGTCCTGCTCTTCCTCTGCTGGGCCGACTTCTCCATGGCCTCGCTCAGAGACTTGGCGTAATGTATGATGGCTTTGAGCTGAGAGTCCGTCAGCACCCACAACAGGTCGTCCAGAATGAAGAGCAGCTTGGATGCCAGCACGTTACAGTCCTTTATCTAGACAGAACAACGATGAATTAAACTTGTGACAAATAGTTTGCTATTCAGATTTCCATGACAGAATAATATATGAACGTTAGAAACAGTCTTACTCTGCGCTTTAGAGCGATGCGAATGCGTCCCTGGTTGGTGATGAGACGGAGCGGTGTGCTACCAAGGTCCTGGTCGTTACTCTCAATGGCATCCGCCTCGATACGCAGACTCTGCCAGTTTATTTCTTTGAATGTCAACACCTGATTGAAACAATAAACATATTAAACCCTCCAGCTTGATCCTGCTTAAAACCACGATTACCTCATTCACACCAACGCAACTCCGGTTCAAGCTCCGTGCTAGAGCTTTTCAGGTTCAGAACCGGTTCTTCTTACGTCATCGTTTGCGTCATGAAGTAACCGTTTCCCTCACAGCTGACACCGACGACAACAACAATGGCCGATTGTGCTCCAGCTTCCTCTGTACCTCTTTGGAAGACCAGATTCCCAGTAGGTAGCTGGTCTCTTCAGTGGACCACTGCTGCTTGTTAAGTTTCTCCATCGTTGTGTACAAACTGGATAAAACGCCGGCTTTTTGTTGTTGTTCAGGAGTTGATCCCGCCCCTGCCCCTGCCTCGACGTAAGCGTGACGTATGCGGTGCTTTTGCTCTGGCCGGTCATTTCTTGGTGCTCGAAATGAACCGGATTCCGGAGCTAAGAGGCTGCTCCGCNAACGCAACTCCGGTTCAAGCTCCGTGCTAGAGCTTTTCAGGTTCAGAACCGGTTCTTCGGTTTAGCTCCGTCTCTTTTCACCCTGCCCAGAGTCCGACTGGTGCTGCGTCATTGCGTCATCGTTTGCGTCATGACGTAACCGTTTCCCTCACAGCTGACACCGACGACAACAACAACAATAGCCGATTGTGCTCCAGCTTCCTCTGTACCTCTTCAGAAGACCAGATTCCCAGTAGGTAGCTGGTCTCTTCAGTGGACCACTGCTGCTTGTTAAGTTTCTCCATCGTTGTGTACAAACTGGATAAAACGCCGGCTTTTTGTTGTTGTTCAGGAGTTGATCCCGCCCCTGCCCCTGCCTCGACGTAAGCGTGATGTATGCGGTGCTTTTGCTCTGGCCGGACAATTTTTTAGTGCTCGAAATGAACCGGATTCCGGAGCTAAGAGGCTGCTCCGCTGCGGTGTGAAGAGGAAAACCCGGTGCTTTTCAAGCTCCAGCTCCGAACCGGCCCTGAAACACCGTTGGTGTGAATGAGGTATATGAGACAAAGAACACACGTTATATAAAATCGCTACTGATGTGGCACGGCTAATGGTTTTTATTTGACCCAACGAGAAGGAAAAGGCGTATTTCCTTTTAAGTGGCTTCCAAAACCTCATTCTGAAAGGTTGTTCATCTCTTTATGGCCCCTGCAGCTAATAATAATCCAATTGAAGTGGCTTGATTAAATGATTCACTGCAGGCCTAATGAGCACTCACCGTTTCTGTGGTGAAACATTTTGTTTAGCTAGGCCTTGCATACAACATCCAGTCAGAGCTGTGTAAAGCTGAAGAGGGAGATAATAGGTGTGCAGTACCTCTCCTCTCTTCGGGTCGGTGACACGGGTGTATCGGAGGTCACTGCTCTCCCATTTGGGGTTCAGACTGTTTCCTTGTAACTGCCAGAGCTCGAAGGAGGCGTGGAAGGCACGAGCCTGAACCTTGATGGTGATGTTGTTGATCCTCACTGACATGCCCTCCACCACTTTCTCTGCAAAGCCGTACTCACTGGAAATACACAATTAAACTTTGAGTAAAGGCATAGTCATCATGGTATGTAGTTTTAGTCGTCTGATTAATATAAACATATTTGCATGCTTACCTCTGTCCTGCTGTGATAGCTATGGGAGAGGGACCGTTTGGTGGACGCGGCTCCTCACATGTCCGCATTTCTACCTCAACCTTATCCAAGAACTGCACAGATAAAATATAAAGAAAATAATGAAACTTTAATACCCCGCAAATTATTGACTGAACATTAATAAAGTCATACATTTACTAGGGCAAATAACTAGTTTAGCAATTTTTTTTGACTGATTTTGCAATAACTATTAGGGATATCATTTTTGAAACATCATTTATTTCTTTCTTTCTTTATTCTTTATTTCGAACAGATTAAAAAATAACAAATAAAAAAATAACAATGTGAAAAACAGAATACCGCATTGTTAAAATACAGTATCCATCCACATTCATGGTAATATCTGTATTCAACAAAAAAACATAGAAACTCTTCATATTAATGATAATAATAAATCATATGTGTCCGAAAGGGAGTAGGAGGAAGAAAATGCTTATTAATTCCCACCCCTTACTTTATCAACGATTGTCCTTTAAAATCACTATGCAAGTTATTCTTACTTACATTTACATTTCTACATACATATACAATAATTTCTCCTCTACAATCACTTTTCTTCATTCTCATAGTTTTTCAAAAAAGTGTTTCTGTACATCCATCATTCAAATAAATATTTAAATGAACATGGTGTGACTTTTTTAAGGAGATTGTACCAGACTATACATCTAAAGTGTAGCCCGGGTGAAAAACACATTGTTATCTACAGACACCCGGGTGCAAATAGTATCTGCCATTTATTCATTAGGTCGGTAGGCCTGGAAACACTATATTTTATTCAGAATGAGATTAATCACAAATGTCCCTTTACTAAAAGGAGCCTACTGTGGTTTTGAATATTGCTTAATCCAGTGGTTCCCAACCTTTTTTCCCAAGAGCCCCCCCCAAATGACTCCTGTTGGAAGTTAAAGTTTCAAAGTCTCAAAAATGCTACAACTACTGTCACAAACTGGATGAATGTGAAGCATTTTGTTAAAGGAGGATGAAAGCGTAATTAAGGAGCACTATTGGAGTGACTTTGATGGTTATTAGACTCAGGATTAATTAATTTGGATGTATGAAGAAATGAAAGGACGGCGCAAGTGGAAACAATTCACAAAGGGATTAAACTGTTTAAAACACATGCTCAAAGTAAACCGGATTTTGACGATGTGTTTATGTGGATTCAAAAGTTGTAAATAATCTACAAAATGGAGGAGAACGATCTGATCGGAGCAACTGTGACAAATAATCCAACTGAAACCGGCATGGACAATGACTATGTTTTAAAAATGAGTTTATCCAGAAAAGCCCGGTTTGGACACTTTACGCGCAGAAGAAACATTTATATTAAAGAAAGAATTATACATTTCTGTC